ATCTATACGGCCAGCGTTTTATGTATAGCATAAAACGATAATAATGGATAGAACAGCAAAAGAGATGCTTCTGCAACTACGATTTGATCATTTCCAAATTTAATGACGTTTTGGTTGATGGTCTCGTGGTTCACTTGTTTGAAGAGCTTTTTCGTTTCTTTTCTGTATAAATACATAGCGGCATGAGAGGTTCCAACGACTTTGTGGTGCACTTTGATCCTGGTTCTCCCACTACATACGGTTCTTCCCTAGTATCTTGATCAAGCCTGAACTGTTATAATGAAGCGGATATAATGGTCCATGTTCTACATTGTAGCTCACGTGGTGCCAAAAATACATATAAGCTTTTGACCGCCTCCTCTCTTAAATAAGTCACATCCAACGTGGGTAAAAGTGTCGGTTAGAAGCTAAAGATAATCAAAATTCAAATTCTTCATGAGACTCTGAAGATTAATTCCTACCTGCTTTTCAGCTTTTGGAAGGGAACTTGGGTCGGTGAGTTTAGAGCGTACTGAGTACATGAATGCATCCTTCAAATTTGTGAAACTTTACAAAAGAAGCCATCGATCTTTATCCGTCCTACCTCGACCACTTCGTAAGGAGATTTGGTCGAAGCTTCATAGTATTCATATACGCCATCTTGAGGCACTATATGATGGAAATCTTTTGAATTTGCAGCACGTTTTGCCGCTTCTGATTGGAGAATACAGCTCCACTGCTTAAATTGAGGGATTTAACGATGATGGCGATGAGTAGCCTGAGGTACATTGATGATATCATAATAGTACGGATCGAAGGAAGGTCAAGCTGCTTTATGATATTCGGAAGATTCCTATTACTCTCCCATCACGCTTGAATCACCTAATGTCACACACGTTTATATCCATCTAGTATTCGCAATAAGCACAGTACCGCCATTCTCTCACTTTCCTTCCTATATAGACCCATCCTTAGTTCAACCTTTCAATAGGAAAGTTACCGTAGATCCATGATCCACCTACCGTACATAAGCCTCTGTGAAAGAGATGGTTGTACAGGTATAGCTGAACGTACCTCTTTCCCCCACCTTTTGTTTTTTTGTATTCTCTTCATTTATACTTCTTTGCATGTTCTTCATGACGTTATGATGTAAGATTAAGCAGGAACGTTCTGCTCCTAGCCAGGTAGCTTTCTGCAAGCTTAACCTCCCTTCCTTTCGATCTTTTACATTTATTCTCCATCAGCTCTATGCTTTGGTTACCATCTACCTAACACTTTATGTATCCTCGCTCATGTTAAACTATCATGAACGACACTTGCTAAACACAGAAGGGTTGAGTCTAGGGACACAATTTCAAAAGTCATTTAAAAAAAGAGCGTTACGGAGTTTCAGTAGTAGTAGTAGTGCCAAGTCCCATTTATCGTACTATCTAAGAAAAAACACTAATTCATAACACATTATTGGGAAAACGAATGTTGTATGCCAACAGATTTCATAAAATTCAACCGCTACAGTAGAGACATTTCGCTGACAGAAGTCGTCAGGCTAATTCTTCCAATCTGGATATGGTTCGATACAGAAAGCTTGAGGGTTTTTCACCGAGTTTTGTGAAGGAACACATATAATGTAAAATGTTGATTGCATATCGCTTTCAGTCAATCAGTTAATAAATACTCCTTTGCTAAGAGGCACGCGGTTGAGATTTTCGGAACCTTTATGCAATGGACTTAATATAGTTCTAAATCAACCGTATTAACATTTGCTATATTCTTCAATTGGCTTAAATTAGCTCTTATCGGAAATGATTGTCTCATTTATAACAGTACAATTCTGTGCACTACAAGTTTCTGTTCTTACTCTTCAACCTGATATGTCAGATGTTACCCAGCCTAGCGTTTAGATTCTATAGTAAACTTTACTACGAGTTTGAAAAGGCTTTCCGCGATATTCTGTATTAAAAGGCAGAACTGACAAGTTTGTACATAGCTACTGCGGAAGGCATATATTCGCCTCCTGACGCTTTCTTTTCCTTTCCTCTGGCTACATCTTTGCGCAATCTGTTTATATGATAGAGAATATAGAATCGTTCACGATTTGATATGTTGCCTTGGCATCTCTTTGCCATATCGGTCCTGCACAATATCGCTGAAATTATCTGGGTTTTTAGAACTTATTTTGCTAAAATAGGCGTAGGAACTTACGAAGACCTAGAGCGATGAAAATGAAGAAGAATATATACACTAGAATCGTGATGCGAACAAGTAGTGGTATTCCAGCTACTGATTCAATAAATGACCTCGTTCCAGAGGATGTGCTAGCACCAGATCGCTCCATGCTACATCAAACTATTCAAATGAACCTACTTGTGTACTTAATAGCACTGGTTGCTTTGAATATAAATCATGGTCACGTGATGATATATGATTTCTGCTTTCGCATTCATATAAAAGTCATCCGGGAGATTGGTTGGTTGCTTGCAGATCTTTTTCCTAAGATAGAAGATAGAATTTTCCTAAGACCTAAGCTGTGCGAAAATAGGGCTGCTCTATCATGAGAATTATCCAATCTTCATTAAGGGCGTAATTAAGACGATCGAGATTGCAGCGCAGTTGTGTTGCTGCAAGAATCGATTTATCTAGTGAGTACTCTTGT